TGAACAAGAGAACAGTCATCCCTGAACCTGAACGGCATTTCTCGTTTTCCACAAAGATGATGATCATGGCAATCGATCTGTATGAAGATGAAGCACCTGCTAGCTTCAGCCATTTCACAGTTTTTGCTTTGAACAAGCTTCGACAATTTGTGGATAGCAGAAAGGAATTGACAGCTCAATCCTACAGATTCTTTGTTGAACATGCCTACAATCAATTCTTTCAGCATGAAGCATTCCATCAATCTGCAAGAGCAAGGACAAAGGTCAGGGAATGCGGTTCAGGTGACTTCCACACATCTACAAAGCTCGATGGCTACATCTGGGTAGCTGGAAAGGACAAGATTGCTCACATCCCAGGATCAGAGCAACAGAATGTGGACATGGAAGATCACGATGATGATGATGCTGAAGATGATTTGGAGTTTTTGCCACGACTACAAGTTTTCGTCAGGAAAGAGGAGGAAAAGGCATCAGGCTCTCAGGAAAGAGAGGAAGAAGGTGTATGCTCTCAAGAAAGAGAGGAAACACAACCACAACAAGAAGATGAGGTATTACCAGATGCAAATCCTCGAAGAAATCTGGAAGATCGACAGGGACTGTTTTTAGTCAGGCAACTCAAACCAGAGCACAGACAGATCCTCCATGATATTACACTCCAAGGCCAATCAATCCTCACAGAAGATGATCTTGAAGGAGGTCGACCCCTTGAACGTGGTGACATAAGCTACTTCTCATTATGGTTGATGATGTCAGCATTATCAGATGCTTCTTTTTCAACATTTATGGAGCAGTATGCACCTATGATGGGTTATGAGATCTCTTATGACAAGTATCATGAGTTCAAACTGGATATTGATAAAGTTCTCAAGGACAATGAACACCTCGGCGCAGAAAATTTCTTTGGAGCAGAGGATCCTGATATGGTGGACGATGATCCAAACACTCCTCTTCCAGATCTTCAAAGACCAGGCGCAGGTGATCCTGAGTACAAAAATACTATTGAAAGTTTGAACATTGAGGACAAACATATCATTTTGGAAACTGATGATGACAAATTGGTTGAGTGTACATTGAAATGGATCAGCATGTGCAATCAGAATGTTCAACAAAAGATCAAGGACAGTTTTGTCAAACCAGAAGAACGACAAGAGAAAGAAGAGGATGGAAAAGAGGAGATTGCTGTCGAAAAAGAAGAAGAAAAAGACACACAGGAGCCACATGTCCCAGCTGAAGGCTCTTCAGAGAAAGAGGAATCAGCTCCACCTGAACGCTCCTCAGAAAAGGAGGAATCAGGGGAGAAGAAGACAGACATTCAAGATGATGAGACAGCTCCTGAAGTGAAACCTGCAGTTCGACTTTACTATGGTCAAGATATCACTGGAAACGAAGATGATTCAGTTTTTCGAAAATTGAAGGATTGTTTTTCAGATGGTTACCATGGTGAATGGGCAGGATTTTACAACAAAGGTTATCCAGCGTCTTCGAAGCATCGACACATGTTTTGGCATGTTAAGTACAGGAAGACCATGTCTCCACATCAAGATTATTGGTACCATCTTACAGATGACCAGTTGATGGTTGAGTACATTGCCAGACACAAGGATCAGAATCCACAACTAGAATTACAAGAACTCAATCAGCGCATTGAATATGGTTGTAGTGATCCTAGGATGCATCCTCTTCATCAAAACAAGGCAGAAAGATCCTCAAAGGAGGCAGAACAGAGGATTGATGACGATTTTGGAAATCTCACAAGGGTACTCCAAGATTACGTTGAGAACCACAAGGTCTTGCCTTACTGTATGATCTTGCATAGCTTGGCTTACAGGTATTTAGGTGGAGGCCTATCAGACCCAACGTACAAGGATGCCGAATTTCCATACAGATCCTCTCCACAGATAACAGCAATGTTTTGGAATTTGGGAAACTGGTGCAGAAACAGATTTGAAAAATGCCCGGTTCCAGAAAGATTTCAACAATTCATTCCACACATTGACTACACCATCGATGAGGATCATGAAAAATTTGATGAAAACAAATCACAGTTCAACAATTACTTCATCAATGTCATCAAGAACTTTGGAGGACATCTTTTCATGAATTGTGAGGCTGGTTCATTGTATCCTCACAGAGAAAGACTCGACGAGGTTGACTTTAAAACTTGCTTCAATGACTATCATGACTTGATGGTGGCAGCTCGCCTGGGAAAGGATGGCTATATCAAGCAAATTGCTGGATATCACACAGATGACAACGACACACGAGTTCGACAAGTCTCATGGGCAATCTTTGAAGTATCTTGGGGAAAGACAAAGGATCGAGATACAGATGAGATTGTTGACTTGACAAGAGCTAGGATGAGGATGACACGTGTGTGCGTTTATCACGTAGGACAGAAGTATGCATCAGACTCCGCTGGGATTGTTGGTGAATGCTTAGCTGTTATGGCTTTTGAGTGTGCCAGATATCAAGTTGACTTCATCGCAGGTGATGGAAACAAGGCATGCCATTACAGCACACCAAAATCTCCAGGTGTCCCTACATACCAACACAGCCTTATCCAATTCTGGATCAACAGAATGGTAGGTGTTGCAACACAAGCCATGCGCAAGTATTTTGATTCATCTTGCCCTCCAATCAGGGTCAAGCATTTCATTTCTTGCAGTTATCGTGACTTGGATTTTCTTGCAACGCACTTGGATGGCATTACAACAGCAACATACACCGACGAGCTCATGAACAAGACGAATGGTAAAGGTGATTGTTGTATGTTAACAGTTGTTGAGTGGGGTCATTCACGTTTGATGTGTGAGGAACACCAAGAAGACTTTGAGGATGAAGATCACATGAACTATGTGGGTGAATTTTACTTCAAGGTAAATGAAACTTGCTTACATGGTGATCACAACATCTTCATGGTTGCCCCAAATGATCGCGATGCTCATAATCCAATTCTTATCCATCTTGATCCTTCTGATATGTCATGGAATGAACGACATCATTACAAACAGGCCTACAAGAAAAAGCAGTATGCTGATACAAGAAAGGAAAGACAGAAGGAGAAAAAGAGAAAGGCATATGAAGATCAAGCATCAACGTATCAGGGCAACACAGAGTGGGGTGGATCCTCATCTTCTTCGTCCAGACCATGGAGATCAAGCTTTTGGCTATGAGTGAGTGTACACTTCTTTAAATGAAGATAACACAGCATGAGAGGCCGTGTACAGTTTTTCTGTGCGTTCAACTTATTTCACACAGATGGCATATACTCTTTTAGATAGAGAAAATGCCACAAGTGTCTGAACTTCAATTTAATGTAAAATAGATACTCTTGTAAATAGAGATACTATATACATTTATCTCCATGAATCATCCGGCGAGCAGACCACTCCGAATGGAGCGAACTTCAAAAATTTACCAACTTCGATTTCAGTCCATTGTTTGCTTGAATGAGCAACTTTGGAGATCCGCTATTTCCGTTTATTTCGTGATTTGGTCAATTGTTTTCGTATGACCTGAATTTCTGAATCTTGCGAACCTGAACTTTTCAATTCGAACTTTCACCGGTAGAGCGAGGCATTTTGCCTGTGGAGAGACCGTGCGCGAAGCACCATTGGTCACTACTGGAAAAATTAGCGAATCCGCTGTTCTTTTCGACATGTCCTTAGGACATTCGCTGCTTTCACGTGTTTTTCAATTCGAAGCCACTGCGTAACTCCGGTTTCTTTTGCTATTTGCCATTGTGTAGAGAAGTCAGGAAGATACTCTTAATACCAATTGGGTACGGCAAGGCGTAGTGCTCTACTCATTGCTTTTGAATTTGTGCCTGGGTTTTTGTTTCGACCTAATACCTACATAGGTACATGCATGAGTATTGAGCACATTTATATGCGCCCTTCAAGGCTCAAGAGGTATATAGAGTAACCCTGTAGACAAGCACTGACCGGCAACAGGCTGAGAGTAAAAGAGTGCTGTCATTGGGGAAGATGCCTTAGCTGATCTTGAAGTAGACGCTAGGGCCCCTCTTCACCCCCTCCCCCCCCCACCACCACCACCACCATCACCACCACCATCATCATCATCATCATCATCGTCATCATCATCGTCATCGTCCTCGCCATCGTCCTCGTCCATCGTCATCGTCATCATCATCATCATCATCATCATCATCATCACCATCACCACCATCATCATCGTCATCATCATCGTCATCGTCATCATCATCATCATCATCATCATCATCATCATCATCATCATTGTCATCATTGTCATCGTCCTCGCCATCGTCCTCGTCATCGTCATCATCATCATCATCATCATCATCATCGTCCTCGTCCTCGTTCTCGTCATCGTTCTCGTCATCGTCATCGTCATCATCATCATCATCATCACCATCATCGTTAATCAATTACATTTTATCATTATTGGCAATTATTGGCATTATCACGAAAGCTAGCGTCAGCTCGCTAGAGTCTTCTTGCTTTAGCAAGTATTCCGGGGCTCCCCAAGGACATCACGTGCTTTTTCACGCGAAAGGGCCCCCCCCCTGCCCCCTCCCCCATATATATCATTGTTATATATCATATATCATATATCATTGTTGCATCCTCGTTGGGACGAACAATGCCGCGACACGATGATGACAGTCCCTCCGCAACTCACCTCTTCCCTTCCTTCTTTCTCCTACCCCGCTAGCTTTCGTCATCCATCCCCGGCCTCAAGTTCATTCAACTTGATTTCACACAAAATTCAATGGTGATGATATGGGCATTATCCCTTCCCGGGATCTTAAAGAGCCTCCCACCGAGCCCGGAGGAATGTTGGGGGATTCACTGTAGCTGGGAGGCTGAAAATCACACAGTGGTCGCTTGACTTTGAGATCACTGGTGATTAATGGTGATTAATGAAGATTAATGGTGATTAATGGTGATTAATGCCAATCAATTTTCTAAAATGAAACGATTCAGATCACTGCATCTATACTTGAATTTGTTGGCCCCAGGCACGGAATATCTTGCTTAGTCTTAGCCTCCTGTGCTCTGTACGTTGCACGCGTGAGTGTGCTGCTGCACAATCAACGGCTGTGGTGGTATGAAGCAGTTTTAGTGGCCATCGCTACGTTGCCCTCCATTGTGGCCATTGGAATCATGCCTCTGGATGTTTGGGAGAAGGAGAGCTGGGCTTCACACATTTCGCGACAGACTTTCTCACTCAAGTTTTGACACCCCAAAAAGGTTTGCGCTATATGGCTACCAATCATGGCATCATTACCGATTCATATGTCACACTGTTTCACCCAATCGCTCTTGGTCAACCCCTGAAGGAGACCCTGTTTTCGGAGCGCCAGCCCGGTCGAAACTCTCGTTTGGATGAGGTGAATGTTGTTACCCCCAAGTCCTCGGCTGGGCCAGCAAGGCCGAAATCTGCAAGCCTTGCTGCATCGCCAAAATCCAGTCCTGGGTTTCTGGGCGATGTGAGCCGGGCCAGTTCGGGTGCTTTGCAGGGCCCAGCACGGATGTTGCTGGACGATAGCTCGGTGAGTGGCTCGCCTCCCAGACTGCAGCTGCCTGGGGTGGAACATCGGCAGGCGCGAAACCGGCAGTCTCGGTCACAGTCAGCACCTCCACAAGTACGAGAGCGGTCGATGGTGCGGAGCCTCCAGAATTGTTGTGCAGACATTCAGATTGGGGGAGAGCGCTGCGAAGTTGTGGGGCACGAAAGGCCAGAAGTTACCATCAGGAACCTTCGGCAACAAGTGCCTCCACCCGCGCCTTCACCACCTCCGTTCCATGAGGAGCATCCCATGCCTCCACCAGAAACATCTCATGAAGCGGCTTTGTGGTCTGGTGGCTCTCCTGTGGCTGTACAGAGCCCTGGAGCGCCTCATTCTGCAGATGGCTCACCAGTCGTTGCCCTTCCATCTGCTCCGTCCAGCATGGAACCCATTTGGTCAGATCTGGCATTGATCCAACTCGCCAAGGCATCCACTCAGCAGTCAGAAACGCCCAGCTGGAGACGGAAATTCCGTTGGCCCAAAATCAGCTATGGTTCCCTGGGCTGAAAGCGATTTTTCCTCTTCATAATTTTATCGTATTTTGCCTTTTCAAATCCATTATTGATCCAAAATTCACTCAGAAATGCACGGGGAAAGCTAACATCCAATCAATTCTTGATTCCCATCTGTGAAATTTGTCAGCTCCCAGGTTCCAGGGTGGTTTTAGGCGCCCGTTTCCTGGAGCTGCTGGTGGCCTTGAGCGCCCTGGCGGTGTTGGCCACGTCTCCGGTCCTCTTCGGCTTCCCCGAGGCGGACCCGGCGCCGCGGCTGCCGTGGACCAAGGGCTCCTTCGGCGCCGTGCCGCCGCTGTTCCAAGGCACCGCCGCGCTGCTGGGCAGCACGGGGGACCTCATCCTGGCCGCGGGGCCGGTGCTGAGAAGCTTTCGGATGGTGGAAGGGCGATGGTCGGCCACTTGCCTTGCGAAATAGGATCTAAATCTGCAAGGTTCTGCATGTATTTTAACATATTTTAACATATTTCATCTAAATTTGAACATATTCTCAACTCTCATATCCTTCACTGCTTTCCCTCATGTCCCACCTTGGCAGGTAATGGGTGAGCCATTGCTGTTGCCACAAGCCGTGTTGGGCCTGGCCGAGTGGGATGGCCAACTGGTTGCTTTGAGCTCGGATGGCTTGCGACTTTTGGGCAGCATGGCCATGAGCTTTGGGGTGATGACGCTGCCACAAAGATGGCAGAACCCACTAGAGCTGGTGCAAGTGCAGTTGGAGGCCGTGGGGAAATCATTTTTTTGGGTGAAATCTTGTAGATTTGGATGTGGAGCTGGCAAGCCAGCTGCTTGCTAGTCAAGTAGTGAAGCATTCAGGAGTTGCCTCGTGCTTTTATCTGCAACACATTACCCGGCTAGCTGTGCCACTTTATCTTTATGTCAGATATCGAATCCGAGTGCCCAGGCAAACCCAAATTTTGCAGACTTAGACGATCCCCAGTTTGATCTGAACGCTACTTTACTCCCCCGAGTGGATTTTCAAGACGCAATAACTACAAATGTAACAGACTACAACTTTCATTACCTTCAAGATTTCCAAACACGAACTGATCCCTTCCCCCTAATATTCAAGACCCCCTGAGAAATCCTGGTTTGGTAATTGTTGGACGTTTTCATTCCGGGGGATGAGAGGTATTCGGTATTCAATAATGGGGAAAGGACTATTGGAATATAACAACTTTCCCAGGCAGCACAGCATGCGGCACTGCCCTCCCGGGCCTCGCCACCCACCACGGCGGCCGCGGCGCTCGTTGGGAACGCCATGGCCGTGGTTCTGTCGGGGGCCGCGGGGCTGCAGCTGTGCCGCGCGTCCAATGGAACAGTGGGGGAGCTCAGCTGGTGATACCCTCTGGTAATGACTAACATAGCTATTGAACATGGCCAGTTATATATAGTGGAATTTCCCATAAAAAATGGTGATTTTCCATAGTTATGTTAGTTTACCAGAGGGTATTGGAGGTGATATTGAAATTCATGTTGATGCACGTGCCATCTGACTGTTTATCGACATTGCCTTGTACGAACAGGAGGCATGAATCATGAATGCATATAAAGGCGTAAAATCTATAACATGTTGACCGACCACAATGCGGGACTATTATAGTGGTTTATATAGTCCTCTCAAAGATACAATGCCCCCATAAACCTGCTTCCAGGCCCTTGCCCTGAGCTTCATTTCCAGCCTGAAACCTGTGGGTCTGCTACCCCCAGAGACCACGGGTCTACACCTCAGCACTGGGGGCAGCGAGCCCGTGGTGCTGTGGACGGTGGGGAAAAACCGGCAGCTAAGTGCCGTCGGCTTTGACTCTGGGCGGGTGCTGGCGACGTTCCAAGCTGCTGAGGCTTCTTGGTGGCCATAGGGCCATAGGGGCTGGGATGTGGCTGCAACTTTGGTGCTACAGATTCAAAGAAGGAGGAACACTGGCAATATGTAGAGGGTGATGAGTCATTTCGCCTTCTCTGAGTGTAAACTTAGAGATGAATTAATCCCTGAGGGTGCTCAGACTAAAGGACAAAATGTGATTGGGCCGGGCTTCATTGGTTTGCAAAGATAAGATATTGAACAAGTCATGGTTCAATAAGTTTTTTAATGTGAATATACCTCCTACGCTGCATCCATGGAATTTTCAGGGTCAATTCAGGCCATCGCCATCCATCCCATGACCAATCAACACACCAAGGACTTGTCAATAGAGGCTTCAAGTGCGATGTTTGTCACTGGAAATGGCAGTCATTTGCTCCTGGTGACCGGTGGACCATCGCTGGCGATCTTCTCCACACCGTATCCAGCGTTAGATTTCCGCTAATGATCACTATTTGTTGGTCTCGCCCGAGCGAATATGTGGATGTGTGAAGCAGTATGATCGATCGACCCATAGCAACACAATATAACACAGTGATTTCAGTGCTAGGATGTGCGATCGGTTCAACATGGTTCAAACATCCATTGATGGAGAGAGGGAGTAGGCGTTTCCAAGATCTTGTTGCAAAACCTTCACGTCTTTTCCTTTTGGGAATGGGGTAATGATTCTTCCACACTCTTGGGGGGAGACAAGGGCACCCGAAAGACCCTCTGTACAGATATCGGCTTTCACCATCCTGGTGTCAGATGACAACCTGGATGAGTTTCACAAAAGCCTCTTAGTTCGCATGGGCCAGTGCTGAATGCAAAGCAACGCCACAGCGCCTTTGCGTTTTGCGAATATCGACAGGGTCAAGGTTCAACTTCAATTTGCAACAAGTGACTGGTGGAAAGAAAGCAAGTGACTCAAGTGATCCATGGAAACCCGATATTTTTGAAATGACCTCCTTTGGGATGGCATTGCACTTCGGCGCTTGCGCCCAATCACGCCGCACACAGCCGTGGTCCGCGGTGAGATTTTCTTCCAATGGCCTTGCGTCGCAAAGAGCCGCGAGTCGCCGTGGAGACTTCAGCGAGGAAAAAGAGCACTGGCTGGGCGGTTGGAGATGATATCCCCAATGCTTGGATGACGTTGAAATAATCAGAATGATATGAAACACATTTCCCCACCACCCAGAGGGCAGCATCTCTTTTTGGCGTTTTTTGTTTCTGAGTGCTCCCGGCATGAGTTCAAGCGATGGCTTTGAACCAAAATGGCCAGGTGTAGCGCCCTTAGCCATCCTGGACCAGCCGGCGCAGCTGGAGGTGATCCTGCCATTAAGGGAGGGTGACCTGATCTGGATCTGCCAGGAATCCATGTGGGGTCCTGGGCCCTGAAAGAGGGCATTGATCATCGATCAACATCCCAATCCCCTCATGTGGAAAAAAAATCCTGGTGACCTCTGGTGGAGAGAATCCAGCCGCGATTCCTGGGACAGCCCGAAGGCCCTTGGCGTTCGCGCCGTGGTGAACCTTTGTGAGGAGTACGCTGGGCCACAGGCAAGCAAACCAATGCGAAACGGGGTCTTTCTTGCGTGTTTTGCCCATGCCATAGATGCCAGGAGAATTTTTTCTCCATGTTTTCCCATGCCAATTCGGAGAACCCCATGTCAGTGACGTGCAATGTAACAATTGAACACACTTGTCAAGGTAGGGATTGAATTGTGAGGTGTTTCTTGTGATTTAGACTTTTAAACAGAGACTTCATCTTTCTCCTACATATACCATTGAGCCTCAAATCTTGCCTTAGATATCTTTAGATAAACCTTAGATCCTTTCAACCAACAAGTAGAACGACTTGAACGCCTTTCAGTACGTAGATCCTGTCGTTTCATCATATCATCATATTCTGCATCTCCCCATGGTGCTTTTTTGGCACACTCCAGGCCGAGTACTCACGGCTGAAGATCACCCAGTTGCGCTTGCCGACTGTGGATCACCAGCAGCCACCGGTCCAGGACCTGTGCAAGGTGGGATGGTGTTGACTGACATGGCAATGACCTCACTGTGACGTCTCTGAAACGATGCTTAGTAGAGGTACTGCAACTAACGTAACATATAATATGCTATTATACTACGTCTGCGTATAATATATATATAAGTTATCCACATTGTTGCGTGGTGATCTTGGATATTGTGTTGTGTGTGTGTGTGTGTTTTTTTTTCAATGGGGAAGCGGAAGTGGCCAAATCATTTACTCAGTTGATCTCAATTCAGGATCCCATTTTTTGCATCATCAATCATAGGCACCTTGCACCTTGTCCAGGCAGTGGCTTTCATCGATGCCCAGCGGAAGCTGGGCCACAAGGTTTATATCCACTGCAAGGTGGGTGGATGGCAGATGTGTGTCCGAGCAAAGATAGGACTTGAGAAGCTGGTGTTGCACTACTGGTGCACCAAAAAACTGTTCAATGATAAAAAAGATGATGCCTGCAGTCCTACCAAGAAAAGTACCGAAGGCATTCTTGCGGAACTGCGCCTCTGTTTTGTGAGGCAGGTCACGGCCGAGCCGGTGCCTGGAGCTCGGTTTTGGGGGTTACTGCCTTGCATCAGGTGGTCGTTTCTTCCCCGTGGGGTTCAACTTTTCCATTTGGGATGGTATTTTAAAGCACCAGCTTCTTATAACATGTATAACCCATGCTAAACGGTTTGAAGGGTTGGTCGCTTCCCATCTTTTGGAGATGTCTATCGATCACTGTTCGGTAATCAAAAAAAAACCAAGCATCAGCACAGCCGCGTTCCACCGCGTTCCGCAGTGCCAATGAGGCACTGGCAATGGCATGGATGATCTTCACTCATGGTGTCTACAAAGAGGACAAGCCCCATTGTCATACCTTTATGGATATCCTGTTATGAATATAAGCTGGAAGAATGGAACAGGATGAGGAAGTTTATCGCTCAAAAACCACATATATAACAAGATGGATGAGGATGGATGAGGATGGATGAGCTATGACGAGGTATTCAAGCCTTTGCGACTAGCTTCTGACGAGTTTTAGACGTGTATACTTGGAGATGCACGTCTGAACTGATCCTTTGGTTTGCGAAAGCGACAGCTTCCGACGTGTGCTCTACTTTTCACACACCTCCAGAAAGTCTGAAAGCTTTTCAGAATCAATCTAGCCATTGGACAATCCTCCTTGGGTTCATATTTATAAAGTAGTCTCCCACTTAAATCTATAGCAGGACTTCCCAGCCATCTCTTGATTTATCCCCACATCATCCGCGCCATGGCTCCCGGCCGCGCGGCCAAGAAGCCTCGCATCACCCGCCGGAAGCGTCCCGCCGCGGCCCCGGACCGAAACGCTGCGGTGGCTCCAGAGCCGCTGGCGGCTGGGCAGCTGGTCTTCCAGGAGGATGCCTTGGTTGCTGCTCAGGTGGGAGGAAGACACTTGTATGGGAGATATATGGGAGATATATGTAACATAGATATACTGGAATATATGGTGGCATAGAATCGCGTTGGATACCTCTTGGTAATTAGCAAGGAAGAGGGCACCAGGACGTTGGAGACCTTGAAACTTTCCAGTTAAACCCCCCCTGGCAGGCCCGGGTTCAATCCCCCTGGTCCCCCTGGGCCATTGGTTTCCTGCAGGTATAGGGTCCTCTTCAGTATTTCATCTTCAGGACGTCATGTTCAGTATATCAATTTTCAAGTCTAAAATCACCAAATGATCATCATTATCTTCCTCTTCCTCCTCCTCCTCATCATCATCATCATCATCATCATCATCATCATAATCATAATCACAATCATAATGCACCTTCTTCTTTTCTTCTTCTTCTTCTTCTTCTTCTTCTTCTTCTTTGTCGTTGTCGTCGTCGTCGTCGTCGTCGTCGTCGTCGTCGTCGTCGTCGTCGTCGTCATCATCGTCATCATCGTCATCATCGTCATCATCGTCATCATCATCGTCATCATCATCATCATCATCATCATCATCACCAGCATTGTCATCATCATCATCATCATCATCATCATCATCATCATCATCATCATCATCATCATGATCATGATCATGATCATGATCATGATCATCATCATCGTCATCGTCATCGTCATCGTCATCGTCATCGTCATCGTCATCGTCATCATCATCATCATCATCATCATAATGATTAGTCATAATGCATCTTCTTCTTTTCTTCTTCTTCTTCTTTTTCTTCTTTTTTTTTCTTCTTCTTCTTCTTCTTCTTCTTTGTCGTTGTCGTCGTCGTCATCGTCGTCATCATCGTCATCATCATCATCATCATCATCATCATCATCATCGTCAACACATACATATGTTGCATTGCCTTGAACATCTTGCGTACGCCTAATACAGATTTGGGTTTCCATTTGGGGGGTGTGTTTCTATTTTTTAAATCTTGCCTTTCTTTTGCTCAAAAAACCTGGCGAGAGACGATTACTGCATTGGGGGGTTCCTGCTTGCTGGACCCAATAGATATTGCAAACCTACAACAGCCCTGCTAGCTTTCGTACCCCCACCCTGGCCTTAAGTCGAACTTTGACACTGCGAAAGTCATCAAATTCACAAGCAACCGAATGAATATCTAATGAATATCTAATGAATACGCAGCTGTAGGCAGATTGGTGTTGACAATGTAAGGATTGTTGGCGCCCAGAGTCTGCGGCCAAAATCCGAAGTAGACTTGTTGGTGGCTAAGATAGGTACTCTATGTACTCTAGTGAGGATGTAATGAATTTACATGAATTCACTGTATCAATGATGGATATCAGATATCAGAACATAAACATGTGAGCCATGGACCAAGTCGCTTCGCCAATCAACTTGCAAAGTTTGACCTTCGGCAATTTCTTCAACCAAAGGGACCAAGTGACTTTGCCGCCTAATCTTTGCAACAATTCCAGGTGTTTGGTGTCTGTGAATGACTGTGAGCAGCGAGTGACTTGCGAAGTGCTTCTTGAAGCGGTAGGGTAAACAGCAGGTCTATCGGCCTTTTTTCAAGATGATTTGAGACCTCGTTCCTCGTTATGTTGATTGCTGAAGGCGGCTACATACTGTGGTAGGAAATGCCAAAATTCAAAACTCCTTACACGAGACAGTTGAGAGCAACCGAGCACTGTTGTTGCCACATGTGGATACATCGGGACACTACTTGGTATAGCAAAAGTAGGAGTTGGTGCAATTTCACTTTTGGAAGTCTGGGAGTTCGCGTTTTCTGTTTACTCCTGCAACCATGGTGAAGGTGAATCAAAGGCCACATGAAACACCGGTTGCAACGATGCTTAGGCAGAATCAAGGCATGGTGCGACCCTCTCATGAACCATGGTCCTTGCTATGCGCCATAGACTTTGGATTTTCACCCGCCTGCCCATTGGCCTAGAAGACTACAGACCCCCCGAGCCAGGCCCCATCTTTGGTTTTCCCTACCACCACCTTGCATCACTTCATCATTTCTGCAGTGAAACCAAACAGGCCTTGCGAAGAGCTGAAGATTTTGTGGCGCAGCAGCCCTTGTTCTGCGCCAACTGTTGTGGCCCCTGCGGTTCGTTGCTGGTGGATTTGAGCCTGGCCAACCACACCATCCACCGTGCCGAGCTGCTCAACGTGGTGCGCACCAGCGCCCGCGACGGCGATGTGCAGCGGCTGCAGCGCTGGTTGGACTTCGCCACCAAGCGCGCTGGCTTGCCACAGGTGCCCGGGGCGCCGGAAGCGCCAGGAGCTCCGAAACCGCAGGGTCGTTTCCTGTGGTGGGGCAACCGTGGTTCGTTTCTTGTAAGCTTGAAAGCGGGATTTCAAGTCAATTTCTTTGGCTTCTTGCTTTTGGATGACTAGTGCAATGCCCACAATGAAATGACCAAAAATGATCGAACATGCGTATAAATGGGTGAGACAGGAAAATCGTCGACAGCCGTTGATTGCAAAGCCGCTTCGCAGGACTCCATGTCATGGATGTTCCTGACACGTCCCCCCAGGCGGACCTTTGTTTTTGCTCCCTGGATTGTCGGAACACTTTTCCACCAGAGATGTGCATGGAGAAGTCTCCATTGCTCTCAGCAGCCAACAAGCTGATTGCAACAGCTGCCTTGCTGCCTGGGGGCAATGGCTTACGCTCCAAAGATGAGTTTATGACATTGCTCCAGCCCCTGCTGCAGTGTGTGCGCGGGAGGTCTAGGCTGTCATTCAGCCAGAGTATGCTTGAGGGCTGCCATCGCAGATTGATTGGGGTGCTGGCAGAGAGGATTCCAGGGACAAAGGCGATGGCCAGAAAGGCTGCGAGGGCTTTGGTAGCCACTCAGTTGCAACTGGCCCTTGGCTAGCCCTTCCAAGTGGTGGCGCGACCCTTTATAACGGCCTTTCAACATTGTTTTGATCCTTTAGGATGTTTTCCCATTGCTTTGACATGCCCTTTAAACAGTTCTGAAATGAGCAGCGTCAAACCCTTCTTATGAATGCTGAGAAAAACTCACCAGTGCGGGGAAGTCAGGGCCTGTGGAAGAGCAGGCTGAACTTCCAACCGCGGAAGAGCTGAAGACATGTGGACTTCGCAGAAGGGAACCTAGTGGCCCCAGAAGAGCGGCCGAAGATGTGTAAACGAAGAACTTTCCGTGTTTGTTCCATCTTTCTAATATATTTCTAGTTTTAAGTTTTTTTTGTCCCCCCCAGCCCCCCAAGGCTCCCGAGCTCTACAGTCGCATTGTGGCATCCCTGGACACCAGATCTTGGTCTCTCAACGGCGAAACACTGCCATCCCGCCTGGGGCAGTACTGCGAGAGCGCCTTCGCTCCCGGCAGTGCGATGGCGCCTGCCTTGCAGAGTGAGGCGGCTCAGGTGGGACTGACAAAAATGGAGGATTTACACCTGGGTAAGGCTATATACTTTTAATATCTTTTAATAGGGAAGATGATGATCAAGCACCTGATATAGGATATATAAATAAATAAATTAAATAAATAAATAAATTATATATATATATATATATACATATTTATCACAGGGAAAATGATGCTTGGATGTATCCCAAATTTATGGTGATTTGAATGGGGAAACTAAGGATTCACCACTGGTTACCCATGGTGTTTTCCAACCTCCAGGTGCTGGGGCCGGTGCTGGACGATCTCCTCCAATTGCAGGAGGAGTTATCGGAAAGCTCAGCTGAAGAGGTGGAGTTGGTGGTTCCACTGCCCCAAACCAACGAGGCCAAGAAGAGTTTCTTGGATTTGCTGAGTCGGCGATTTGTTTGTTTCCCCAATTGGTCAATCCCTGTGTCAGGATTCTACCGTTTTTCTTTTCTTTTGGCCATTTTTGTTGCAAATCCGAGGTTCGGTAGTCTTTTGGCCCAAGCTGTTAAGTGATGAGGAGATTGATCAGATCCTCCAATTCAGCGCGAAAATGAGGGGGGAATCTGAAGCCCAGTGGTCCACGTGTTACCTGCAGTCTGGGGGGGCGCATGGCTCGCTGCAGCCCATTTTGAAGAAGCTGAAGGATTTGGCACTGCACGTGGATGCCAGGCCAGGTGGGTGGAAACGACTGCATGGCGATTTGCACACGCGCCTGCGGTCACGATGCGTGGAACATCATTCCGTAACCACTGGTGGGGCACTGCCGGATCCTACACACTTTGATGGTGGCTCACTCTTCACCATTGATGTGATGCTGAACACGCCTGGGGTTGACTTTCAAGGCGGTGAATTCTGCACTATGGACACTGGGCATGAATTCAACTGTGCGGCCAGAATACGAGGCAAAGGAACGGCCCAGATGCCTTTCACATCATAACATGCAACATGCTATACGATTTCATGAGAGTTTAAGGCCTTCTGCCTGAAGCCTGCAGTCATGTTGTTGCTGTTTCTTTGTCCTCATGTACCTTTATACCTTCCCGCAGCTCAAGTTGACCGCAGTTGGAATTCCTTCGCATCACCTCAAGGATCACAAAAACCATAACCTCAAGGGCCTTTGCTTCAGGAAAGTGATGACACCCTCCATCCTCACCACTTTGGGAAAGGCGATGCCCTGGTCTTTCTGTCCCACAAGGCGCACTGTGTGCAGCCGGTGACCAGTGGCCTCCGGCAGACATTGGTCATGGAACTCTGGGAGGGCGAAGAGAGGCGAGAGATGGTGGTTGGGATGGTGACTGCAGCTCATACCCATGTAGTGCGTAGACATATGCAGGGCAGGTATTTAACGGATTTTATTGGTATTTGCATGTTATATTTGCAGATTTTTGATTTTGCATGTACTTGGTAGTATTTGCAGTATTTGCATGTGTTTTTGCATCTTTTATGTCACCCACCATCGGTTTCTCCCAAAAAAAGGTGTTGTAACCACCGCTGTCAGCAACGTTGGGGCCCCTGCACCGGCAGCAGCAGCACGGCTCCCAGCCTCCAGCGGCTGCGGGAGGAGGGTCCCAACCTCTTCGCAGCCACGGCCTTCGACGGGGTGGCGTTCTTCCCGTCCCTGGGGCGGATCCTGCGGCAGAGCGCCAAACGACGCAAGGCGGAGGCGAACGTGGAGGTGCTGTTCGAAGAGGTGAAGCCCAAGGCATTTGTGACCTGGGCTGAGTCAATGCATTTTTGATTTAGACACACGACAAGCAATTGCCATTGATCAATGTGGGATAATGTGGGTCCATTTGGATTTAATTTTTTTATTCTTCCTCCTTTTTTCATTTAAATGCAAGTTCCCACGCAAATCCAAGGTTAGGACCACACGGAAAATTCGGAAGGGAGAGATGTTGGTGCTGAAGTGAAAAATGGGGCGACTGGATGGGGGATGTCTGGTGCTTGAGATGACGACATGCCATGCTCTTTGTCAATGACAAAGAGTTACAGTGCTGAAGAGCTGCTGTGTGTAGTGGTCCTCAAGGGAACGGGGTCAGTATCACTCCAGTGATGAAATCCTTTGGTGGAGTGCTGAGTTTCGGTGTATAGAAAGAATCAGATCGAGAATCACAATCCAATGGTTCCACATGGTTCCACTACCTCACTTCGTGCAAATCTCATCCAGGTGTTTTGTGCCCTTTGCATTCACAATTCACAGCCTCTTCAAATCAGGAATGGTCAGCGAAGAATCGGATGTCTCTAAGGAAACAAGACATAGCAAGTACCCTCTGGTTATGTCAAAATAGCTATTGAAAATGGCCATTTATAGTGAGTTTTCCCATTAAAAATGGTGATTTTCCATAGTTATGTCAAATTACCAGAGGGTATATGCAGGCATCAATTAAATACCTTGCAAAGCATGTCTCGCAAATACCTGACCACCCTGATCTCAATAATCCCTTCCAGTAAATATTAAACATCTACTAACATCTATAAATACCTATAAGATCCTATAAGCATCTATAAACATCTATAGACATCTATAGCATAAATATTTCAAGTATCCACCAAACGACACCCTGGTTGGCTGATCTTTCCACCGAGGAGGACCTCCAAAAGCTCAATGCCGAGCTCCTGCAAAAGCGTCACGTGCGAAGGTCACTCTACAGGCCACGCTGGATCCGCTGGAGGTTTCGATGGGAACATGGGTTTTCCCATAGGAAACTCATGGGGAAATAAACCAAGAGAGACATGGACATCTGAGAGAATCCTTAGAACTACAATGGGTGATTTTCCGGCAGATGTTTACATATATGCGACATTATACGCGACGTAGAGAGAAACTATTGTATGTGAAACTATGTGACTCCCTCACATTTTGGAAAAATTGGAAATCCGAGTTTTTTTCCTCACATGTTATATGCATTTATAAATATGTATAAGTCCCTGTGAGATATTGATATAGAACAAGGGTTTCTCCTGGGTTGAGACTCTAGGACCCTGTTGATATGCCAGGCAATTGAACTTGAAGGACTTCGCATCGCAGCTGCACTCCACAGGTGGCTATGGGTCAGAAAGCCTGGTGAACACTGGTACCCCTATCGAGTTTATAAAAATAACTGGCAAACGGATGTTGAGGTTTTATCCCAATTTCTTGGCAGAGTTTGTGCTCTTGTTTTTGTGGTTCAACGTCCGTTCAAAGTTGGATTTGGACATATTTGGACATATTTGGACTTGATATCTGAAAAGATCTGAAAAATATGGAAAACCCAACAAGAAAGCTACAATTTGGGGATGTTTAACCACCCATTTACCTTTCATTTGATGGGTGATTTTGGGCAGTGCAGGCCGCCTGCACCTCGCCACGACCTGCCTCGCCAGGCGGCGCTTGCGTGAGAGATGCCAAGGTACAACTGTCAAAGATGGCAGCTGCCGATCTTTTCGGACCACTATGACACTATGATCCACTAGGATTTGTGTCATATATATATACATATATATATACATTTATTTATGTTGATTTATGTTGATCTATATCCATATATATATATATATAATTATCCATATTCAAAAATCATGAGTGAAATGAATCTGGGAAATGATGAACTATCAGCCTTGATATCTTCTATCAACACAAACTTGTGGAAAAGGAGAACATGAAACAACGAATCCTGTCTCCCATCCCTTCTCGGCCCATCACCCAACAGCTCCAGCCAAGCTGCAGGCCGAAGCCGACGAATGTACAAAGAAAGATCGATGACGCCTACGCCACGGCTGATGTCCGAAAGATTCCATGAAGATCAGAAGCAGCAAAAGTCATAGACTCATAGACCCAGGCAAATTCATCTCAACTGATCATCACTTTTGGCTCACATCATCATTATTGACTGCAGTAGATTTGCTGACCGATGTGTTGGATCATCGAAGGGCATTCCATGCGTTTCCGTTGGAGCGGCTTCCGGGCGGCAGTTTGGTGATCAAAAATGTCCATTGCTGGACATGCTTGCATCATTATGATTCATTATGCTACATTTTAAAGAAGTTAGAATATGTGAAACAATCTACTTACTTGGTTGCTTTGAGGTGGACCCCTTTACTCAACACATGTATATAGTTTGATGATGTTTGACGATGTTTGATGATGTTTGCTGTGTTTCAAGCCATGTGAATGCCTCAGTTGAGTTTTTTTTGTTTGAAATGCAATCCAGAAAAAAACATTGCTTTTGCCATTCTTTGCCTCTAGACTGCGGAGTATCTCAATGGTTGTTATCTCAAAGGTTGTAAAACAAAAATGGTAAGTGCCAATGAGCCTGCCCAAGTTTCACTCATCAGATATCTGGTTCATGTTTGGGGGGGGGGCAGGGCGGCACAATAAATCACAGTCCTCACAGCAGGTGGTGGCCATTCTGCGAACACGTCCCGTTGGAGATGATATGATCAGCCGCGATGCTCAGGGCAGCATGGTACTGCCAAAAATTGAGGTGATCAGTTGAATCAGTTGAACGTTGTTTGCATAGAAAAATGGTTGAATCACTTACAGCACAGAACATGATAAATATTTGTGACCATTTTTTTGGCAAGGAATTTACTCGACCTGTCCTAATGTTTGTCCCCAAACACTTGAGTTCTGAATCTGTGACCCACATTGCCGGGTAAATGTCTCAGGCTTCACTGACTTTGTTGCAGCCACCCTTTCTGGAGCCCAATGCAAGGTGCAGCTGACACAACGATTGCGTGCAATCGACTTGGTTTAACCAAATGTAAGTCTGTACTGAAGCAAAATGACAACGTCCGCATGATAGAATGATCGAATTGATAAAGGGTTTGACATGGTTTGGGTCTTAACATCTTTGATTCACCAACTTGGGTCAGTTGGGAATTGTTTTCTTTGGGACCTTGATTGGTACAGACCGTGAACGATCTGTACTTGCCAAGTGTTTGTCAGCGACGCCAGTGTAGTTTTGCAAGACCGACCTCTTCACCTTTCTCGCCTACGACAGCAACATCAATTGCAATTTCGATGGGATACCTCAACATATTGCAAGGCATGAATTTTTTTTTGAGTGCCTGAAATGTGACAGATAGCACGTGTCTTTGCATTTATGATTTCTCAGGAATTCTTGAACTTTGGGTTCCCTTCTGCCCAAATGTTCTTGTCCTCGTTTGGTTCCATCCCATGTGAAATTCGAATCGCTGCGTTGTTACTTTTTTTCGTCATTTGTACGGCAAATCGTGTCTACCCAATTTGCAGAAATCCAACTTGCGTATCCTTGTGCGTGTGTGGGTGCAGGAAGCTTGTTGGTTTCCCAAACCTGGCTCACATTGCTTTCGTTGATTTTCGTTGTCAAACTTTCCAGTCGATGCTCCAGTGGCTGTGCTTGCAGTACCTCTCAAAAAAATATTGTATTTGTATTGTATGTATTTGTACTATTCAGACCAGTTCTTTCTGTCTGATACTGATACCTTCCTGAAAGCCAATGTAATGTGAAATGTGCAAAGATATCAAAAATGCGTTGAAACTTGGACACTGAAACTTCTTTGAGGTGCAAGACCTGTTTTCCACAATTGTTCGGGACCCACAGCGAAGAACCACCTTCCCCCCGCTCATTCTGATCATTCTGGGCGCCTTCTGCCAGTGCCAGGATGGCCATTGTCGTTCCGCGTTTCGGATCTTTGATCGCAATGCTGATGGGTGCCCATGTGGCAAAGCCTCGATTCCATGTTTAGCTTGGAAATGGATCATCTTAACCGTAATTTCTGGATGAATTCTCACTTGTTTGTGCTTCAAACATTTCAAAACTAGTCATATTTCTTTGATGGATTTCATGAAGAACCATTGAACCATCCTCAGGCCCAGATTTTTGCAGGTACATCGATGCCAAAGAGCTCGAACTGATTCTGCGCAAAGGCGCTGCTGCGTTGCCCTGACTGGTGTTAAACTGGCTTTCAATGGGGAATGGTTGAAGGAAAATCTAAGGAGCACTGGGTTGGTTGAAGGGAAAATACGCTGGAAACTATGGTTTTTACATGTTTTCACCATCTATTATCGTACTATACTATACTTTATTGTTACTTATACTGCATTTTCGTGGTCGGCATTCCCAATTAATTTGAGAAATCCCAGCTTCCACCTACGAACATCTTGACTCATCTTGCAACAATGTTCATTTTCAAAATGTGAAGAGTAAACAATTCTCCAGTTTTGGCTGTTGAATTTTGACCCAGACCATCCCAGACTCCATTGTCCCAGTGCTTGAAGCGAACATTTGCAGGACCCCCTTGAATTCGTGTTGGTAAACCATGCGAAGGTTTCCTAAAATAGGGGTACCCATGGGTGCCCCCAGTTATCATCTAGTTTTCAGATTTTCATGGATTTTCCATGATAAAACAATATAAAACATCTATTTTGGGGTAGGAAATCTCCATTCAGCCATGGTCGACCCAGGTGAGTCCAGCGCGTGCTTGACCGAGCCTGCGCAGGTTGGGTGAGAGAAGTCTTGCCATGTGGATGGGTCAAGATAGTACTTTGTGGGATTATCTGGGATTATCATATGATATGGGGTTATCACATGATATGGGATCGCCAGATGATATGGGGTTATCAGATTATTATGGTATCGGAATGTATTGGATTATATGATGTGCTTGTTGTGTTATGCTTTCAAGTCAGGCCAAGTCATTTGGGCACAAAAGGAGCCCAGAATTTCTTGGTCATGTTGTGTAATCTCCCATCTTTGTTGATCATTCTGACCTATCCCCATCTCCATCACAATATGGACAGAACATGAAATCATGCGATATATCGTGACCATGTTTTACCGACCACACCAGTCATACTATACGACCGGTCGCAGCGAGCAGACCGGTGATGCCAGGCGACGGTCGCGATGCTCAAAGAAGCCGGAGCCGGAATGGTGAGCTTTAAGGCTGGTGATCATCAAGTTGTTCCCCCCCAAAATGGATGGTTCCCTAAAATGGGGGTACCCCAAAATGGATAGTTTACAATGGAACATCCTTTTGTGGTGGATACTTTGGGGGTACCCCTATTTTAGGATCCCCCCCAAAATTGGTTGTTTCAGATCCCAAAACGATGATTTCATGGGGATTTCACCATCAGCTATAAAGTTTTTAAGCGGTTTTAAACCATCAAACATGATGTGACCAAGATTTATTGGCTCCATTGGCACCCCGTTGCCCTCAGATCGGCAGGACTTCGTGAATTTTGTGAAACGCGGAGCGAGCCTAGAGCTTTGAGTTGCGCCGTTTCACAGCGTAGGATTCACTGAAGCTCAATTCTAGGTCGACATTGGGAATTAAGAATCACCAGCTAAACTATCGATGGCCTATTAGTTTTTATTATCCAGCTATACTATACGGTATACATAAACACTGAACAGATTATAACGACCGAAGCCTGCGACGTCCCTCAAACTAGCCTTCTTTCAGGTTAACTGGTGAATTATTATAGCTTATAGATGCTTATAGATAGATTATAGATTGGTGATTTATCATTTTGTACATAGATAAATGATGATAAATGTAGATAGTAAAACATATAGAGGCGAATCTACGCATACCACGCGCGGCATCGATGCGAGCCGTGACTCGCGACTGGGCCTTTTTTTGGTGAGGCTTGCCGCTGCTTTCCAAGCTGAGAGCATTTTATCTGGTTGGTGGTTTCAAAGCATTTCAAAGATTTTAAACAACATCAAAAAGAAACACATCTTGATTTAAACTCCTTATAACTAGGAAGATCATCCCAAGTATTCGAACGGATGTTGGTCCATCACCAAGCCATGGTGTGCTGTCACCGACGTTGCTTCATAGCTAGATGGCTGAAAAGGCCGTCCAAACCGCGTCCCATCGACTGGCGAGATGTGAAAAGCGCTGATCTACCCTGGGCTAAGGCTGGGATGTGAAAAGACACAGATCGAACGATGCTGACCTGAGTTAGATCAGGAAGACATCTGTAGCAGAGAAAGGACCCTTGAGAATCCTTGAGACCTTCCCTGTCGCGTAAGCTGAAAGCTACTCAGAGAGCGTGAGCGCGGAAGTCATAGGTCAGGCCGTTCGGTTTCAGGCACATGTTGATGGCAAAGTTGAGCAGCAAATGTAGCAGAAATGTTGCCTTCCAAACGAAGTCGCACAGAATGAGAAAGGCAAACTCCGGAAACTCTTCTGTAAACATCTTGCAGACTGTGCAAACACAACTGCCACGGGGAAACAACACCGCAGGACCGCAGCCATTCAAAGAACAAGGACTGGTCCCTGTAAGTTCACCAAGTTTGTTGAACAGATACAATTCACGGCGGGTATACGTTACTTGCGTAGGGGTTGTCCATTTCCCATACCCAATTTTGATCATAATTTCAGAACAGCGTGATATAATACCATATAATACCCACAATCCGAAAACCAGAATTCATGAACTTTGGCACACCCCAAAAATCCATTTCGAAGGCAAGTGCCAAGCTGCCAAACCTTTCACTACCCCTGAATCCATTTCGCCCGCACAAAAACAACATCGGAAAAACAGCAACAAAGACATTCACAAAGATCCCGATACCATCTACCAAATATTCCAACAGGATGACCCACATTTTTGATGCCCCGCCTTGCTTCTGGGACGACAACATTAAACAGAGGCTGGTCCATTTGGTGGAAGGGGCAGACAGGGATTGAATGGAACTTGCGCATTGCATGTGCCTCAAGTTTTTTTTTAAATGCCATTGCATTCCTTCGATCTTGGAAATGTCTTTGTGACTTGTGCATGGACCGTCTTCCTCTTGTGCAAAGTGTTTGTGCCTCAGCGTAGTGTTGGCGAGGCAGAATGTGGAAGAATCTCTGTATGGCTGTGCGGAAAGCTGTTGTTACTTCCGCAATGCTGGCTCAAGCCTCATTCCCAAGTTGATACCCTATCCCTATCGGTAAATGCAGACTCACTCGGCGAGAATGATGCTGTGGGTGCTGCTGTGGCTGCAGCCTTTCGTTTCTTTGTGCGAGGGATGTGTGTCCGAAACCTGTGGTTTGCCACCGCAACCGGCTGAAACTTCGGATGCATTTGCTTCGATTCAAGTCATTGGGAAGCAGACAACCGAACAAGAACTCGACGACAAGGTAGTCGACCACATCTACAAGCTCAATGAGGACGGCACAGTCACAATCATCTTCAAGTATGAGGATGGCACGGAGGAAGTGTTCGATGTTCTGGATCCTCATTCTCCAGGGCTTTTGCAAGAACAAAGCACCCAAGAAGGCTTCCCGTGGAAGAAGATATGGAAAATCAAAAAGATCAAGGAAGCGCTGGAACGCCGACGCCAGCATCCCTCCTCCTCATGCACAAGTGGGGATTTCTCTTTCTCCTTCCGCAACGACAACAGGAACGATCCCGCTGGAGGCCTAGTCACTGGTTGCATCAGTGGGCTATCGTGCAACAACGAATCCGCTGAAGCAACCTCGGTTCAAGTCCTCACGAATGAAGCTGGCTTTGGCCTTGGCGAGTATATTTCTGATGACCAGATCCTCTTGAACAACACTTTCAATGTGAGTGCTAGCTGTGAGATCGTGCCTTTTTCCTTCTTCCTGTCCGTCAGCTTGAACCGCAGCTTGTCACTTGACTTCCTTCCTCCTTCAGGTAAGGATCCATGTGCTGGGCTGACGAATTCTACCTCGCTTTTCTCAAATTGCAGTGATGTGAAATTCCAGTATATTCCTTGAGATTTCTTGAGGAAACTGCAGCACTCATTTCAAATTCTTTCAGATTTGAGAGGCCTACTAGAAAGCAACACAGCTTTGAAGCGCAGAAAAAACATGCAGAGCTGCTGATCCACCTGGCTTCTGATTTTGGACAGATTGTAGCCATTGATTTGAGCATTTCAACAGCATCATCCGGGGTCTACCAGTCGCTCCGTTGCGCCCTGGCAGGTGAACAACAGCTGCGGATTTCAAGCAGAGACTGAAACAGTTGCAACCTGCCGGAAAAAAAAAAGCCATCGAAAAAACATAGGAATAGCGGGTCAAGAAGCAAAGTCGCAGCCACCAATCTCTCACTTCAATGCAATTTTTATGGAATTTAGTTCTAATATGTTCTAATATATTGTAATATATGTTATAATATATGTTATATATATTTATGTAATTGTCATTTGATTTAGTGGGCGAGAATTCCAAGTAAACAGCAAGGAGACCGGGCGGGGTGGGATCATGTTTGTCCTGGACACTACTCTTGATGCTGTTGAAGTCCTGCACGTCCGCGTTTTTTCGATCGATTTCGGAAGCTAGCGCACCATAAAACACATTGGCTTAGGTACGCCAATGATGTTTCAAGCGGTGAAACGGCCCCAAACCAACACAGGTAGAACATATGTTTCTCATTTTTTCTTGCTATTGAAAGAACTGGAAGATCGCATCTGAAAAGTTTGTAGGATCGCCATGGATCGCTAAACCATGCTAAACCTCTACACCTTGCCGAAAAAAGGGGGCAGCGACTGTTGATTATCAGGCAGGTGCCAGGGGTTCGGTGCGAAATGTCTGTGGCAGGGACTTGCAACCATGGCATTGGCGTCTTTCTGCCTTTGGATCAAGGTATCTGCAAATCCAGCCTTTCGATTTGCGAAACTGTGGAACAGTTACAACATTTTGACTCCAAAGTCTACTGCTTTGTCATGTGTGGCTTAGGTTTTCCGGTGATCTGACTTACCATTGGCCGATTGCTGGAAATTGCAGCCGACACTGCCGACACTTGGAAGACAACATGAACTCGGATGTCGTGAGCTCTCCATGGGCGGCTTGTGCACATGAGGACTGGATCTCATGACACATGGCACAGAAATGGGTGATAATGGGTGCAGTACCACAATTGTGATGTAAATTGTAGATGTTTTTTTTTTTAAAAAAAATATGTTTATGTGCACCAACATATTGTACATTCGTATAGCTGGGTTCTGAAACATCGTGTCAATGTACCACAGAAGGATGCTCTTTACAACCACTCTTAGTCCAGTCACCAGTCGCCAATTTTGTGCAGCTCCCAACAGCTACCATCCATGTTGAAGCTCACGGCCACATTAGCGACCCCATAGGAACTTGAGCAAACATGGGTTGGGGTGGGGTGGGGTGGGATGTTAACGTTCATGTTACGCTGATGATGTTACGCTGCTCATCGAACCATCCCCAGATTTTTGCAGGTACATCGATGCCAAAGAGCTCGAACTGATTCTGCGCAAAGGCGCTGCCATGACTTCACTGGTGTTAAGCTGTTAAACTGGCTTTCAATGGGGAATGGTTGAAGGGAAAATCTAAGGAGCACTGGGTTGATTGAAGGATGTTGAAGGGAAAATACGCTGGAAACTATGGTTTTTACATGTTTTCACCATCTACTATCGTACTATATTATACTTTATTGTTACTTATACGGCATTTTCGTGGTCGGCATTCTCAATTAATTTGAGAAATCCCAGCTTCCACCTACGAACATCTTGACTCATCTTGCAACAATGTTCATTTTCAAAATGTGAAGAATAAACAATTATCCAGTTTTGGCGTTTTTTTTAACCCAGACCATCCCAGACTCCATTGTCCCAGAAGTGCTTGAAGCGAACATTTACAGGACCCCCCTGAATTCTTGTTGGTAAACCCTGTGAAGGTTTTCTAAAATGGGGGTACCCATGGGTGCCCCCAGTTATCATCTATGGATATCTATTGAGTTTTCGGCTTTTCATGGATTTTCCCAGGTGAGTTCAGCGCGTGCTTGACCGAGCCTGCGCAGGTTGGGTGAGAGACGTCTTGCCATGTGGATGGGTCAAGATAGTACTTTGTGTGATTATCTGGGATTATCAAATGATATGGGATTATTAGATGGGCATTATCAGATGATATGGGATTATTAGATGGGCATTATCAGATGATATGAGATTATTAGATGGGCATTATCAAATGATATGTGTGGGATTATTAGATGGGCATTATCAGATGATATGGGATTATTAGATGGGGAGTATCAGATGATATGGGGTTATCAGATGATATAAGATTATCAAAGAATCAAATGATATGGGATTACCAAATGATCTGGGATTGCCAGATGATATGGGGTTATCAGATTACATGGTATCGGAATGCATTGGATTACATGATGTGCTTGTTGTATTATGCTTTCAAGTCAGGCCAAGTCATTTAAATCATTTGGGCACAAAAGGAGCCCAGAATTTCTTGGTCATGTTGTGTAATCTCCCATCTTTGTTGATCATTCTGACCTATCCCCATCTCCATAATCATATGGACAGAACATGAAATCATGCGATATATCGTGACCATGTTTTACCGACCACACCAGTCATACTATACGACCGGTAGCAGCGAGCAGACCGGTGATGCCAGGCGACGGTCGCGATGCTCAAAGAAGCCGGAGCCGGAATGGTGAGCTTTAAGGCTGGTGATCATCAAGTTGTTCCCCCCCAAAATGGATGGTTCCCTAAAATGGGGGTACCCCAAAATGGATAGTTTACAATGGAACATCCTTTTGTGGTGGATACTTTGGGGGTACCCCTATTTTAGGATCCCCCCCCCCAAAATTGGTTTGTTTCAGATCCCAAAACGATGATTTCATGGGGATTTCACCATCAGCTATAAAGTTTTTAAGCGGTTTTAAACCATCAAGCATGATGTGACCAAGATTTATTGGCTCCATTGGCACCCCGTTGCCCTCAGATCGGCAGGACTTCGTGAATTTTGTGAAACGCGGAGCGAGCCTAGAGCTTTGAGTTGCGCCGTTTCACAGCGTAGGATTCACTGAAGCTCAATTCTAGGTCGATATTGAAAATTAAGAATCACCAGCTAAATTATCGATGGCCTATTAGTTTTTATTATCCAGCTATACAGTATACAGTATACATAAACACTGAACAGATTATAACGACCGAAGCCTGCGACGTCCCAAACTAGCCTTCTTTCAGGTGAACTGGTGAAATATTATAGATTATAGATAGATTATAGATTGGTGAATTATCATTCTGTACATAGATAAATGTAGATAGTAAAAACATATAGAGGCGAATCTACGCATAGCACGCGCGGCATCGATGCGAGCCGCGACTCGCGACTGGGCCTTTTTTTGGTGAGGCTTGCCGCTGCTTTCCAAGCTGAGAGCATTTTATCTGGTTGGTGGTTTCAAAGCATTTCAAAGATTTTAAACAACATCAAAAAGAAACACAGCTTGATTTAAGATCCCTATCACTAGGAAGATCATCCCAAGTATTTGAACGGATGTTGGTCCATCACCAAGCCATGGTGTGCTGTCACTGACGTTGCTTCATAGCTAGATGGCTGAAAAGGCCGTCCAAACCGCGTCCCATGGACTGGCGAGATGTGAAAAGCGCTGATCTACCCTGGGCTAAGGCTGGGATGTGAAAAGACACAGATCGAACGATGCTGACCTGAGTTAGATCAGGAAGACATCTGTAGCAGAGAAAGGACCCTTGAGAATCCTTGAGACCTTCCCTGTCGCGCAAGCTGAAAGCTACTCAGAGAGCGTGAGCGCGGAAGTCATAGGTCAGGCCGTTCGGTTTCAGGCACATGTTGATGGCAAAGTTGAGCAGCAAATGTAGCAGAAATGTTGCCTTCCAAACGAAGTCGCACAGAATGAGAAAGGCAAACTCCGGAAACTCTTCTGTAAACATCTTGCAGACAGTGCAAACACAACTGCCACGGGGAAACAACACCGCAGGACCGCAGCCATTCAAAGAACAAGGACTCATTGGCCCCTGTAAGTTCACCAAGCTTGTTGAACAGATACAATTCACGGCGGGTATACGTTACTTGCGTAGGGGTTGTCCATTTCCCATACCCAATTTTGATCATAATTTCAGAACAGCGTGATAGAATACCCACAATCCGAAAACCAGAATTCATGAACTTTGGCACACCCCAAAAATCCATTTCGAACGGAAGTGCCAAACCTTTCACCATCCCTGAATCCATTTCGCCCGCGCAAAAACAACCCAGGAAAAACAACAACAAAGACATTCACAAAGATCCCGATACCATCTACCAAATATTCCAACAGGATGACCCACATTTTTGATGCCCCGCCTTGCTTCTGGGACGACAACATTAAACAGAGGCTGGTCCATTTGGTGGAAGGGGCAGACAGGGATTGAATGGAACTTGCGCATTGCATGTATCTTAAGTTTTTTTTAAAATGCCATTGCATTCCTTCGATCTTGGAAATGTCTTTGTGACTTGTGCATGGACCGTCTTCCTCTTGTGCAAAGTGTTTGTGCCTCAGCGTAGTGTTGGCGAGGCAGAATGTGGAAGAATCTCTGTATGGCTGTGCGGAAAGCTGTTGTTACTTCCGCAATGCTGGCTCAAGCCTCAGTCCCAAGTTGATACCCTATCGGTAAACGCAGACTCACTCGGCGAGAATGATGCTGTGGGTGCTGCTGTGGCATGCATTTGCTTCGATTCAAGTCATGGGGAAGCAGACAACCAAAAATGAACTCGACGACAAGGTTGTAGTCGAACACATCTACAAGCTTAATGAGGACGACACAGTCACAATCATCTTCAAGTATGAGGATGGCACAGAGGAAGTGTTCGATGTTCTAGATCCCAATTCTCCAGGGCTTTCGCAAGAACAAAGGAGCCAAGAAGGCTTCCCGTGGAAGAAGATATGGAAGATCAAGAAAATCAAGGAAGCGCTGGAACGCCGACGCCAGCATCCCTCCTCCTCCTGCACAAGTGGGGATTTCTCTTTCTCATTCCCCAACGACAACAGGAACGATCCCGCTCAAGGCCTAGTCACTGG